TTGAGGGACAGCTAAGGTGTTATGCTCCATCCTGCGTGATCGACTTGGGATTGACTCAGCCAGTCTGCCGGGACATTGTCCACCCCGCTGATATGTTCCATGTGGAGAGACAATAGATGAAGTTCCACCCAGGTGCCCAGGCGATTCACCTTGTCCATCAGAGCAGGGGACCACATGTCCCCTTGCCGGTTTATATGTGCTTTCATTATTATATTGTCCATGAGGACTAGCACATGTGAGTTTGTCCCAAGGTCTCGGAACTGCTTGAGCACTAGATGAACAGCTCGCAGCTCAAGCCAGTGTTTTCTCTCGCAAGGAGACCAGGTGCTCTGTGTCATTTGAGAGAGGAGATGGGCCCCCCAAACCGCGAGGGTGGCATCCGTGGTGACCATGATTCAGGCTGGTTCCTGGAAGGAAGACCCCTGGGCTACTTTTGGAGAGAGCCACCACCCCAGGGACCTGGTTACCTCTGTTAGTAATGTGATAAGTCTTGGTGAGCAGCTTGTGTTGGCTCTTTGGAATGGCAATAGGAACCACTGCAGTTTCCGGCTGTGCAGTCTGGACCAGGAAACAATGCTGAAGCAGGAGACCATCTTCTCCAGCAGTTGGGAGAGACAGAGTAGAGATGTTCTGCGGCTCCTTTTCACCTGTCCAGCCATCTGCTGCAGACTGGAGAGACGGTCTGGGGAGAGAAAGACTGTGTCCTGCACCTCTCAACAACAAGCTGCCCACCTTGGGCCCCGGGTCAGCAGGGATGGATGATCTCCATTGCAGGTGGACGGGGGGCTACTATACACTTGTGATGGTTCAGAGGGTCATCAGCAAGATGATCAAGGAGCGGGCTGAGCTCATTCTTCTAGCCCTCACTGGCCATGCAGGCCATTGTTCACGGACTTGGACAACCTCTTGGTGGCCCCTCTGTGGCGGATCCCCCTGCACAAAGCCACCCTGACACAAAGCTCGCTCGTCCATCCTGACCCACTGTGGATACAGTTGACCCCTTGGAGATTGAGCGGACAGCCCTAGCTGCGGTGAACCTCTCTGCAAGGGTCATTCAGACTCTCCAAGCCTCCAGGCGCACCTCAACCAATCGTATCTATATAATGCCACCTGGAGGGCCTTCCACACCTGGTGCAACAGTCACGATATTGTCCCAACCTTAGCATCAGTTCCAGCAATCTTGGACTTCCTCCAGCAAGGACTGGACTCTGGACTTTCTATCAACACCCTAAAAGGACAAGTGGCTGCACTAGCGTTGATTCTCATATCTCCATTCTCCGAGACTCACTCTCACCATCCATTAGTGACTTGATTTCTCAGGTGAGTGGCCAACATCAGCCCTCCCACCATGCATAGTGCCCATCTGGGACCTGGACAGAGTTCTGGATGCTCTCACTAAATCCCCCTTTGAGCCACTTGGCACCATCTGCATGAGGTACCTGTCCCTGAAGGTCGGCTTTTTGGTGGCAATTACCTTTGCACACCACATCTCTAAAATTGCAGCCCTGTCTACTAGACAAGACCTTTTCCATGAGGACAGGGTGGTGCTTCGACTTGAGCCAGCTTTCATCCAAAAGTCAATAGTAGATTTCACAGGCCCCAGGCGATCGTCCTCCCCAATTTTTGTCTTTCCTCTGCGCATAGAGTTTAGCACAAATGGCACAAGCCGCACATTCCACATCTACATCTCGAGAACTGCTTCCTTCCAGTGCTTGGAGGCCTTGTTTCTTTCTTTTCATCAAACTAACATGGGTGCCAAAGTCTCTTCCAGGTCTGTCGGACGCTGGATCCGGTCCTGCATCTTGAAAACATATGGAGTTCTTGAACTACCTTTCCCACCTCATGTGACAGCGCATTCAACATGCAGCGCAGCTGCCTCGGCAGCATGGTCTACCCAAATCTCCATGGAGAAAATTTGCAAAGCGGCTACATGGTCTTCACTATCTTCATTCATCAACCATTATAGACTAGACAGATATGCATAAGCAGATGCTGCTGTTGGCAGGAGGGTACTTCAAAAAGTCAGAGCTGAACATTTGGCTTCATGCCAGTCATCTACCCACCCTTAACTCTATGGGCAAGCTTTGGTATGTCCCATTCTGGCTGCTGTCTCCACCAACTGGGGAGAATGGGCCTTGGTCCTTACCTGATATACCCGTTCTCTGGACGGTGGAGACAACAGGCAGCCCCATCCTTAGCTGACTTTATTCTGGGACTCTTTTTACTGATTTTTTGACTTGAATAGGTTGGGGGATAATGGAGGAGAGTGTGAGAGTGTTATCTATTCTTGTGATTAGCACCATGCGTCAGTCTACAGATCTACCTTCATTAAAGCTGGGAGGAGTCACCAGTAGTACCAGTGATGTCATAGCTATAGACTCAGTCCAATTGGTCACTGGACAGAGACAACTCATTCTGGCTGCTGTCTTCACCGTTCGGAGAAAGAGCGTATCAGGTAACGACCAAAGCCCATTTTGGCAGCACTCCTGTTTGTAAACTAAGATTTGCTAAGATCATTTCTGTCATAGTACATTAACATACATACAGAAGATATGCAGGATTCAATGCCTTCATAAAATATATTTTTTAAAAATATATATTTGCATTTCAGACTTCAGAAGTGTCATGAATGGGGGCGAAGCAGTAAAAGTATTTAATGGAATTTTCTTGCTTACAAGAAAATTTTGCAGTAATAATATTTGAACTTGAAGCATTTTTAAAATTATCTTCTAACTGACATTTTGTGCAGATAATGTTTAATTCAGTAAGGCTTCTGAAAGGTAATTGATACCAGGACTGCAAATGAATTATTTATATAATTATTGTTACAAACATCTCTGATATCAACCTCAATACAAAAATCTGGATTACCGTATTTTTCAGAGTATAAGATGCACTGGAGTATAAGACACACCAAGGTTTTGAAGAGGCCAATTTAAAAAAAAAAGTTTTACACTCTGCAAACCTCCCAAAAACATGAATGTTTTTTCCAAAAAAGGGCATGAATAGTCTTGTAGGAGGCTTGTAGAGTGCTCCTGGGGGGTGTCCCCTCAAAACGAGCAAAAAACANTCTTTTAATCAGAATCAAAAAAGTTTAGCTACCCACAGCTGAGAAGATCAAGCTGCCAGTTACTACAATAGTAAGCTAATATCATGGCTTCAATCTTTATCTTTCTCAGCTTTTTTTTCTTAGCCGACTTCTTTATTTGGCTTGCCTTAGTAGCCTTCTTTCTTGTTCTTTAAGACAAAAAGAAATCCTTAAAATGGTGCGAGTCTTCAAAAAGGTATAGCTGTTGCTAGAAAGAGCCTCTTTTAAATTGATAAGGTAGAATAATAGTCTTTGAAGGTGATTAAGATAAGGAAGGCATAACTTATTGTTTGTTTGAAACATGAATTTCCAAACATGACAGCTTCTTCAGCCCACCGAACAGATTGTAGTCCATTCCCTCCCAGCTTTTAGCATGCAGGCAGCTTCAGAGTTCAACTCCAAAAGCAATCTGCCAGCTTGCAGCTATATTGAAGAGTCCAGAGGGAAAGTTCTTTGGTACATTCTGACCGGGTGGATCATAAAAACTGATAATATATCAATTCTTTCAGTTAGAAGGCAGAAGAGCAACACTCCATGAAGAAATCCTTCAGAGATCTCTTCCCATGTGTTTGTTCAATTAGCCACGTCCCCATGAAGTACTAACAAACTTTTCTTAAGCTTATTATTTTGAAGTAACTTCTGTTCAAAGAAACTGCCAGATCCATAACCATAAAATTGCAGTGAGAAAGTTAGATTGTTATGGAATCAGTTATGTTGTGGGTCAGGATTTGTGATGGATTTTCTTAAAGCGTTCTTTTACGATGGAGTAGCTCTCTTGATATTGTTGCTTCTACTGTTAAAAGGTAGGATAATAATATCTGTACATCAGATATTTCATATTTAGGGAATGTAAACTCTAAAATCTTATTATTTGCTATATCTTTTGAAAATTGCAGTTCAAATTGTATGTTGACATTGTTAGAATAAAATTTTAATTTGACTTACTTTTATGATACTAATTAGTATCTTAAAGATAACCCAAAAGGACTATACTTAACTCATTGTTGCCACTAAAAAAATTATAGAGCTGATAATGAAAGATTATTTTCTTCTACTGTGGATAAATGCTTATGAGCTGATCACCATAGATCAACTTTCAGATAATTATTTGGGGGAAATCTTTGCTTTCCTATCAAGTAAAAACTGTTCCACACAGTGCAGTAAAAGATTACAGAGCTAGTAAATTTCTAGTTTTGTCATTTTTTAAAAATCTGTATGAATAAAAAGGGGATTCTATGTAGTTGAGTTCTGAAATATTAAATCTATGATATAAAGTTGTTATTTGTAAGCTTATATTATATATAAAATGTACATGTTTATTTTTAAATAAGACCTTTTAAATAAGTACCATTGCTTATTTTCAAGTCCAGAAGAAAATAAGTCTGGGTCTTATTTTCAGGGAAACACGGTAATAGACAATTACTGTTATTCAGGGATAATAATCCAAATTATTTTGTCCTAATTATAATTTTTGGAAAGTTTATTTTATGTGTATGTATGTATGTATATATGTATGCATGCATGCATTCTTAGTGGAGAGAAGAATCTCTCAAATAAATTATAACTGGAATTTGCAATTCTAGTTTGACAAAATGGGGCATTAAACATTTTAAATTCAGATTTAATCTTTCTTTTGGATAGAAGAAAAGGCATAAACATTAAAATTTAATTAAAAATAAAAACAGCATAGATTTTACCTTATAATCTGGGTTGTGGTTACTTGATTGAAGTAGCATTGTAAATCTTGGGATCTACCTCTAGTTCATAAAATATTTTTCTCAAACTAATTAAAATCAGTTATACACACTTTATATATGTGTGTTTAATGGCTATGCCATATGAATCAGACATTACTCTTTCTGAATATACTGATAGAATGCCTTTTTAATTAATTTTCTATATTTTTTTGCAGTTCAACTTCTTAAACTGCTTTGCCTCTTTATTCTACATTGCATTTATCTTAGTTGACATGAAACTTCTGAGACAGGTAAATTTTGTATGACATGTTTTTAAAAAGCAAGTTAACTTATTTTCTTAATAAATTAATTAAAGTTGTATATGTTTTCGGTTACTTGATTAATTTATGTTTGTACTTAATTTATATCAAGCTTATTCAAACTATTGCTCAATCTTAAATGGCTTGGGTTAAGAAATTCCCACAACTATTTTCCTGTTATTAAAACAATCTTACATTTACTATTGCACTGATTTATTTGCTCACTGAAAGAACTACTGAAATGTGTTGTTATAAAGGCTGTGTTAGTATGTGTTTGCTTGTATCAAATTTATAAGACTGTTCTTTATTTACTAAACAATGTTCCATGAAAATAACACAGTTCTCCTGAGTTGGTGAAGATAGCAGACAGGATGGATTGTCTCTGGCCAGTGACCAATCGGACTGATTCTATAGCTGTGACATCACTGGTACCACTGGTGACTTCTCTCAGCTTTAGACTCAGTCCTATCAGGACTGGACACATAAATTAGCTGTCCTCCAAATTAATTAATTAATCATGTCCATTTTTCCAAATTTAATTCCCCAAAATTCAAATTGACTTGTCTAAAGTTTTGCTACTGCTCTTCTCAATCGTGAAGGCTCTTCTCAATGCAAACAGCTTTTTTCCTGCTCTTCTGAGATTGCGGGTGCCACGATGTAACTTTGGAGCACCCCGTGACACTTAAGCATTGGACAAGCCCATGGGCAGCAACCCAATGGCTGTTGCCCACCGTGAGACCACCTCATCTGGCAATCCAGCGCTGCTGCTCTGCTGGCTGCTCTTCAGCTGCAAAAACACCTCCAGAGGCTTCCCCCCCCCTTCTTTCAGAGCTCCAGCGCCCATTTTCTGTGTGCCAAAAGCTCTTGTGGCCATTTTGAATTCACCTGACTGTTTAATTTGGCGCCAAGTCTCTTCTCAGCACCTAGCCGCTTCAGGTGCAAGATTCATTGTGGTGAGTCCCTGAACCACCAATTATCATGGTTTCTACGAGGGGGGATCAAGGCCAGGCAAGCCCAGTCATTTCACCCCATGATAGCCCGGTGGCAGGTCCATCTGGGGTAACAATCACAAAGAAAAGGCCAGCCCCAGAGCCTTGCCCTAAGGGCAGACCTCCTAAAATGTCCAAGGCTGCCCAAAAGGCAGAAGACCATCACCAGTGCCAGCTGGACAAGAAGTTTGCAAAAGCGCAGAGCTTAGCTGCTCAAGCTTCTGCAGAGTGCCCTGCCAGCCGTCATCCATTTCTGCTGGACCCATTGTCACTAGAAAGCCCAAGACCCACTGATCTGTCCTCAGATAGTGAGGAAGAATCACATGAGTCTTCACACCAACCCAATTCTGGGCCTATTGAACCATCTCCAGCTCCTTCTGTTTCACAGCTTCTGAGATACAGCCTTCATTTTTAGTGCCCCAGGGTCCTTCACCATCAGTAGGGCTGGATATGGTCTCCATTATATCCGAGGGGATTGCAGCTAGCCTCCAGCAACAACAACAGGATGCTATTCTAATGGCTTCTCTACCTGCTCCCAGTGTGCCATCACCTAGACCTTTTCACACCAGCAAAAGTCCATCCACACAATCAATCCCATCTCATTCTGATCAGGCCTCAGTGGGGGTGGAAGAGAAGCAGGCAGTTAGGGATTCTGATGTCTGAAGATGAAGATTTAACTCCTGACCAGCCTACCTTCGTAGGATTATTCAAACCAGCTGCCTTTAAATCCCTTGTCCTTAAGGCCAAAAAGATTTCCAAGGTGGGGTTAGCCCTGCCTCAGGTTGCAGATTCAGGAATGGGGGAACCAGAGNCCTTGTCCTGGCTGCCCCGCTGCCCGTGCACTCCTATGTTTTCCAAGGCATGGAGCGATTCCGGAGCCCATCCGTCACCCCTGTGGAAAACATAAGCGCGCACACACAGCCTGCACAATTACAGCCCTGGAGAGTGGAGACTCTCGGAAGGAAGCCAGAGGCAGTGGGGCAGCCGGGTCCCTCGCCCTCAGAGGGAGGAAGGGTCAGTTGGGAGAGGGGCTTTGGTCCTGCTGCCTCTGGTGGACGAAGCTTTACTGGCCCGTGGCGAAGATTGCGTCCCTCATCCTGGAGCCTTCAGAACTTGTTCTCATTCGCCCGGGCTTGTGTAGAGGCTTCACTCTCCAAGCCTGCAATTGTGCAGGCTGTGTGTGCACGCATATGTTTTCCACGGGGATCAAAGATGGGCTCTGGAGTTGCTCCACGGCGTGGGGCTGTGGCTGGAACACCAGGAACGTGAGGGGGACCAGCGGGGCCTCGTCCTTTTGGAGAGGACCTGTCCCCAAAGAGAGCAGATGTGATGGCATTGGTTTTGGGATGTTCTGCGGAGCCCACCAGGGAAGAACGCTGCTGCCAGATACTTTTAACCATATATTTTGTTCCGATATCTGCAGAATGCTGCAAAAAACCATGAATACATGCCAGTTGTTGAGTGTTTCAAATGTGATTGGAACACTCAACAAGGTGACCCCAGTATGTATGTGTGTATCTGTTTGTGTGTCTATGTGTGATAGAGACAGACAGACAGACAGAGGCACAGAGAGATAGAGGGAATGAGAGACAGACACAGAGGGAGGGAGGGAGGAGAGAGATACACACACACACACAGACAGACAAACAGACAGAGAGAGAATCACATAGAGAGACACAGAGAGAGGGAGGGGGGAAGGAGAGAGAGGCAAAGACACACACACAAACACACACACACAAACACACAAACTCACACACAGAGAGAAAAAGAATGGAATAAAGAAAAAAAGAAAGAAAAAGAGAGAGAGATGAAAGAAAAAAAGAAAAAAGGGACAGAGAGACAAAAGGAAGGAAAGAGAGAGAAAGAGAGAGAGAGATAAAGAAAGAAAGAAAACACATGGTCGGCAAGCCACTCCCAGAAAAGAGGCCATACCCACAGAGTAGGTTCCAAAATTTTTTGAAACCCACCACTGGTGGGAATGAATGGTGGGAATTGAAGGATTTATATTCCTTGCAGGCAGCTGGTCATTTGCATTCTTTTAGAGAGTTGTTGAGGTCATTTGGAGGTTTATCTGTGACCTCAGGGTCACCTGAATAGTGCAAATGGGTGTGGAGCCTTCTTGGAACTGCCGAAAGAATTGTGTGTTGACTGGAGATATATAATGTCATAACACTCCCCCTGTTGAGAGAGGGCTGTTCAGTTTTGACATAGATGGCATCTTTGACACCTCTTTCAAACCAGCAGTCCTCTCTGTCCAAAATGTGAACTTTGCTGTCTTCAAAAGGTTGGTATTTGTCTTCTAAATGCAGATGGCCAGCTGAAATTTGTTCTGATAGGTTTGTTCTCCTATGTTGTGCCATGTGTTTATGAAGTGGTTGTTTTTGATATGACAACTAGAGTACGTGCTCACAACCAGCAAACCTGTTGCTAAAGTCCACCTCTGGGTTCAGCTGATAGTGGGGTATTCCAGGAGGCCGATCCACCCACTAATCAGCTGCTTGAGCTGAATCAGGCTAAGCATGCTAGCCAGATGAATACCGATGGATGCTGGTAGAAAGAGGCAGAATATTTTTTTCTTATTTTCCTCCCCAAAACTAAGGTATGTCTTATACTCTAGAGCATCTTATACTCAGAAAAATACGGTAAATGTATCATTGCTGAAATTATGCAGATTCTTATCCAGTTGTAGGTGCCAATGAATATTAAACAGAGTATCAGAATATAATGTGATTGTAGTTAATACATTTTATTTATTTTTTATTTCCTTGTTTCTTTTAGATGGCTTTTCAAACTATGACTGTAATCTCAGTTATTACAAACTGTATCCTAATTGGCATGTCACCGCAAGTAAATGCACTCTTCCCAGATTCCAAATCTGAACTTATCATAATTGTAGTGTTGGCAGAGGTAAGCTAAGGTTTAAATATTTCTTATATTTCAGAAAAAGTTACTATGTCTTACATATAATTTCTTGACTACCTTTATCTTGGCAATCAATTAATCCTGAAAGTTGTGTTAATGTTTTAATACTTTAGCAATCCCTTTGTACCATATTACATCTCTGCTGTAAAATATGAGTTGGTTATAGAAAGCACACACTTTATCTTGATAGAGGAGACTCATGAATTTGGTTTATGAAGGACAGTTATAAAGGCAAGATAGGTAAATGCAAAAGGGGTATTGTTGAAAACATCATTTCTTCATTCCCCCCACCTTGCTGTTTATTATATCCGACTAAGAAAAGACAAGGAAGCAAGGCTAAGAGCAATTGTTGGCAGAGATAAGAATTTACATCCACAATCAACTATAGGTAGTCGTCAACTAACGACCAATCATTTAAGGACTGTTCAAAGTTATGATACCGCCCCCCCAAAGGTAATTATGTCTTGAAGTTACATCTACTGCAACACACCTGTGGTTGTTTATCTTTAAGACTGACTTCAGAGAAGCTGCAGCACCCTGCCTATTCCCCTCTCCCATCCTGCCTGTCCAGATTCCCACAGGCATTGGCCTTGTTTGCCATGCTACTGGATTCTATATACTCTTCCCCATCCCACCCCTATCACCTACCTTTTCATCTCCAGAACTCAGTAGGTCGGGGTAGAGAAGAGGGACAGGCCTTTTTGTTACTGGGCCACATGGCCCAATCCCACAAACAGCCATCAATTTCTGAGCAAAATATATACTGATGAAGCTAAGGCTAGGTTTAGCAAAGAACAGAAAGCTGAGAGTTTGGAAATTGAGATCATTTCCAATTGTACTTTTAAATATATTTATCAATAGGAATAAAACTATTTTTGTTCATTTGCCATATATGATGGTATGGGTCCCCATTAGGAGTCTCTCAAGTTTCAGTCTCATATATCTTTATATCATGTTCTGGGGCCAAGTTTTCTTTTCCAAATTTAAAGTTGCTGGGTTCTCTTCCCACTTCTAAAAATGAATCTCTAGATCAAAATAACCATGCATATGAAAAACTAAGAAATCATTTCTTTATAAGAC